ACAAAAACCTCCAATATATTGATTCATATCCACTTGATTTTGAACAGCTTTCATGCGTATCACATTACAGGTAGTTGACATTTTAATGTGAGATAACTATTCTATTCAGTTTTATTTATATAGCACCAAATTACAACAACAGTCACCTCATGATGATTTATATGATAAGGTAAAGACCCTACAATAGTACAAAGAAAACCCAACAATCAGACAACCCCTTATGAGCAAGTACTTTGGCAACAGTAGGAAGAAAAAACTCCCCTTTAGCAGCAAATACCTTGTTCAGAACCGGACTGCAAGAGGGGCAGCCAGTGCTGCCGCCGATAGGGGTTAAGGGGAGGAAGACAAAAGACACACTGTGGAGGAGAGCCAGAGAGAACTAATGATTAAATTCAAGGTGGTGTGAAGACAAAGTGAAAAGTGGTGAGTGAAGAAGTGGCTGGAGTTCCACTTAATTTCCTTTAAAACTGACCTCCAACCATTAGGATTAAGTGTAGCAACCTCCCTAATGTTTTGTTCAGCACTAACCACCCATCAGAAACTATCCAGTCATTTAATTTATCACTAAATTCCAGCAAAACTATTAAAAACACTGGAAGCTTCAGGTCTATGCTGCATTTAGCCAAACAAACAGACCAGGAAGCTAGCGTAAGCTGCTGCTGCATCTGCAAGCTGCTTTGCAACATCCCCCCAATCCCTGCTCCTCATTTTCATGCAGGTTCTGATTTAATGGTACTCTTATTATCACTGATACCTTGTCTGTTCTATAAGGGGCATATAGAATAGTCATGATATATATAGTGTGGGCCTGACTAAAGTGAGATTTTGGACACTAAATAATATATCCTGTGTAGAAAATGAAATAGAAATCAGCATATTATTGCAGCTGGTTATAGACTAAAGTGAGTGTTTGTTTGAAACATGGCCTAATGCTGCAGTTTCCTTTGGGCCACATTTGGACTTGACTGACAGTGTTGACACAAATCAGTACTGCTGAGTGAGCTGTGTTACAGGTCCATTCTATTTAGGTCAGATGTCAGTTGTGCTGTGACAACCCATGTTACGCCGAGCTGATGACTTTTTGGCCACATCTGTTTAATCGAGCAGTTGGTAGTGCTCTAAAGAAGCTATGTATGCCAAAATGATCCCAGGTTAGGCCCATGTTGCTATCTGGATTCTTGGAATATAAACAATCTGTCCATCAGCTCTGATCGATGTAAAAAATGAACCCCCAACTCTCGGATGGTGTATATCAATCAGATCCTGTTCAGCAGCTTACCCATCATGCTGTTGGCCACAAGTGACCCCATAAAAACCAAAAAGCAGACAAAGATGCTGCTTTCCTACAGTGACAGCCTTAAATATGAAAGCGATGCTGCAGATGAACTCTCCGCTCTGTCAGGTTCACCGGCCTCATGTCGACTTTGATGATGAATCATCGAGGTTAAAGCTCATTGGGAGTAATCTAATAAGATGACCAAAACAAAAACAAATATGAGACATTCACCTTTCTTTCACTTCATCAAACACTCCATCCATCATAATTTGGTCATAGACTGAAACATCCTAGCAGAGGGAAGAAGTGCGACAGAGAGTTTTGAGCATTTTTCAGCTCATGTTGCTTTCATCCTTTCTTTGAAAGTGGCAAAATTGTTTAACAGAAGGCATGAGACACTTCCTGTCATGCAGTGATCTTGCAGACTTCAATCTAATTAAACTGCGACCAGTAAAAAGCGTGACATTCTCAAATGTGCATTTTCAGCCACGTCTTTGTAAGCCACATTTTCCTTTTCTGAGTGGAAGCCATGGAAATTTAAGACTTATCACAAAAAAACATTTTCTAGTGAAAAAACATCAGTGTATTGTTTGTTCGGATGTTTTAGTGAAATTCTTAGTTAAATATAATATATAATATATTATATATTATATATATAATATAATTAACCCTACTGCTAAGTGGTTAGCAAGTAACATTACAGACGTTATGAGACAGGAAGTAATATATAAGCCTGCAGCATTTTTTAAACATAAATATATCCTAATTTGTATTCCTTAAATTTGCAAACAATATGATCCTACTTCAAAAAAATAGACCAAGCTTATTTGGGTCTTGGTTATTTATACACTTTCCCTGGAAAACTGGTTCCACGAGAATATCTGCTATACAACTGCTGAGCCTTGCAGGGTTCCCACCATTTCTGCAAGGACTACATCAGTCAACATTGCACAAATTAAATTCATGGTTGGTATTACACGTTTTTTCTTCGACCTCGCCACCATTTTAAATGCTGAAATCAGCACAAACTGCATGAAAAGAAGGTTGGGTGGGTTGCATAGCAGCTTGTAGTGATAGTAGCAACTAATTGCAATTGTTAAGGCAGTTTAAATACTGTGTCCTACATAAGATTTGATGTATAGAGAGGTATTGATGAATGTTTTCATTCTTTGTGCTTTCCAATCTGTCTCCTGTGCACATAGCTGCTCTGTAAACTCTGCCTCCTCAAAGAACCCACTACTATCTTTTAACTTTCAGGAAACCAGTTCTCTTTAGTGGATTAGGTTAAAGTCCTGAAGGTAAACAAATGCACCATGACTTTGGGCCTTTTGGCTCAGCACCTACAGTAAGGAAGTTAAGCATTGGGCTGGGAAATGATTTTGCATGCCAAAGTTCAATAAAGTCAGACTGAACATGTCCTATTTGTGTGGCTTTCCTTAAGTCTTTCTGCAGTTCAGTTGAAAATGAGTGGATTTTGGCACAAAATGCAGCCTTTTTAAATATGGATTTTGGCCCAATCCTCAGATGATCGTCTGCCAACAGCCTGCATGTTTTCAATCCAACCAAAGACTTCACCAAGTGATTAACTCTCCTTCAGGTGAAGTGAAGGAACTCATCAGTGAAACCACCTGCTGAGACGACTGGCTGGACTAAAAACAGGCAGATGCGCCTGTGAAAGCGAGCAGGACCTGCTTCAGCCGTGCGGGAGATTTTCTGAATTGGCGTGTAGGAAGGTTTCACGAGTCAGGCCTTCGTGTGTGGGTGCGTGTGTGTGTTTAGCCTCTCCACAGATAAATGCTCGGTGTGGGTAAAATATTCAGCAGAGGATTTTATAGCTGAGCTGTTGAAGAAATATCAGCAACACACAAATAAACACACGCACACTATGAGTCAGAGCTGCTCAGCTGATCCAGCAGCTACATTTTGTGAGTGTGTGTGTGTCTGTGTGAAAGTGTACTCTCATATCATCAATTAGCTTAATTAAAGTGTTTGGACATAATTTATTGACAGCAGGAGGTTGAGAGAGAGAGAGAGAGAGAGAGAGAGAGAGAGAGAGAGAGAGAGAGCAAGCAAGAGAGCCCGAGTCCAGCAGCTCTCTCTGATCTGTTTGGTTTTGCAGTGTTTGCTCTTTTGCTTTCATAATTTTCATTATTGAACAAAGATTCAATTAGAAATTCACTCAAATGAGCTGCTTACAACAAGATGTCTGACAGATCTAGTTGTAATACAATTTATTTATTTAGATTACGTGTTGTATCCTCGCTACTAAACACCAGAAGAAAGAAAAGTGTTACACTGATGGGTTGGACATGTTAGGATATCTGATGGCACTTAGTGTTTAAGTGATATTCATGACAGTGTGCTGCTTCACAGTCAAAGCCAGACCTAGATAGCACCTCCCTGCACAGCAGTATTTGTACTATTCGCATTTTTTGTGCAATAATACAGTGTAACCTATAAGATCACTGTTTGGATTATGATCCTGATGACTTGAAACACAATTTTTAATCTAGCTGTTATTTATTTATTTATTTATTTATTTATTGTCTATCTTCTTGGATTTGTGTTTTTGGGATTATTAAAGTAGTCGATCCAATCAATCATTAGTGTAACCCGGAACAAAAGGACATTAAGGTAAACACAAATAATCCTCCACTAAAAAGATTCACTGCAATCTGCTCGTCCCACTTGGTTTCATATACAGATAGACTGCCAGAGAAGAAAACCTGGAAAAAGGAGATCAGAGCCAGCAGCCCAACATGCCACTGGCTTGTAAACTTAATCATATCAGGTGAAACTAAACCAGAGAGGAGGGGAAAAAAGATTCAGTCAAAGCCACAGGCTCGCACATGATCAGACTCAAAGAAACTAGCTAAGGCCCAGTAAAAACTATTTACACTCACTATATATATATATA